GGCTGACCGGTCTGTAGTTGCCCGGGTCCTCGGGTGTGTTAAAGACTGATTTGGGGTTTTAGATGTGGAAATGCCCTGGCACAGCTAGACTGAAGCATAGCAATTTGCATATTTTTAATTAAATATTAAAAAATACATTCAGATACTCAAGAGAGGGAAGCAAGAGGAATGTAAATTTTGTTGTCTGTCTTATGCTAGGAATAATGGCTCTAGGTAGAGATACCAGACATTGCCAAAATTTATTTTGGAACATACATAGCATGATTCAATGAAACAGCCCCAGGAATGGGGCATAGATGCATTCAGAAAATGTCAGACTGAACAGAGAAAGACATGCCTATTTCCAGCAATGAGCCAGCTGCTGGGAACTCTTTAGGGGATTCAAACAAATTCGTGACAAAATGGAGCACTTAGCAAAGTGGAATACAATCCTGTGCGGGGACCACTCCTCTAGTGTTCTGTCAGGGAACTGTTTCTGGATGTGGTTTGTGACCCTTTCCAAGCTCTGGTCTTTTGAGCACTATGAGACATTCTGAGTCAACCCAGGAGCGAAGAGAGGGAGGTGGGTTCTCTAAGGTGGCTGTAAGATGAGTGAGATGAGCTCACTGGGGAACTGGTACCTTCTCACTATCTGTGATGACCAGGTGCACTTACACTTTGATGAGCCATGTCTGTAGGTCAGAAGTTGTGGGAGGGAGGGAATGAATCTCTTTGCTCCCACTGAGGCCCTATGAAAGGCCACTTCACTTTTTCTGCAAAACCTGCCCCAGAGCTTGCTTCACTTCTTTGTTCCTGAGTGTGTAAATGAAGGGGTTCAACAAAGGAGTTACAAATGTGTTAAAGGTATTCACGAGTTTGTTCAGATGCAGGGAGTTCTGGGACGATAGCTTGACATACAGGAACATGGTGGAGGCGTACCAGATTGTGACAACACTGAGATGGGCAGAGCAAGTGGAAAAGGCCTTTTTGCGTCCATGGGCTGACTGGATTCTCAGGATGGAAGAGATGATGTATACGTAGGAGATGAGAGTGACCACACAGGAGGCCATCACAACAATTATGGAGACTAGGAAGGTTGCCAACTCCACGTGCCACGTGTCACTGCAGGAGAGGGCAAGGCAGGCATCTATATCGCAGAGGAAATGATTGATGACATGTGACCCACAGAACGTCAGCCTGGATGTCAGAAAGGCCAGCAGTGAGATGGCCAAAAAGCCTCCCAGCCAGCAGCCAAGTGCCAGCCGAGCAGAGAGGACATTGTTCATGAGGGAGTTGTATCTCAGGGGATAGCATATGGCTAAGTAGCGGTCATAGGCCATTACAGACAGGAGAAAACACTCTGTGGAGCCTAGGGAGAGAAGGAAGAACAACTGGAGGATGCAGACACTGAAGGAGGAGGGCCTGGCCAGCATGACTCCTATGGCTTTGGGAGCAACGCCGGTAGTGTACCAGATCTCCAGAAAGGAGAGATTACACAGGAAGAAGTACATTGGGGTATGGAGGTTGCTGTTCATCCACACGAGGGCGATGATGGATGCATTGCCTGTTACTGTCAGGGAGTATGTCAGTGCAAAGACCACCGCAAGGCAGATCTGGAAATGCCACGTGCCTGGGAAGCCAAGAAGGATGAATTCTTCCACACTCGTCTCATTTGCCATGTCCTTCCAAGTGCTGAGGTCCATCTGCAAAGACAGGAATGTTTCTGTAATAGTTTGTATGTCTGCGCTGGTCCTTCAGATGCTACTAGTCGTGAAACAAAGCCATCATTCCTGAAAAAGTAGTTGGTGCAGAGCATGGGAAAACGGCATCTTCCCTTAGTTGAAACTGTCAAGGAAATCCTTTGCTGCAGAAACACATTTGATCAAGTGGATCTGAGCCTGAAGGTCAGGCCTACACCATCAAATGAACATGGAGAATTCTTTATTGGATCAAGCTCAGGCATCTCCTTTAAAAATTGTGAGTGCAATTGCTTCCATGAGATGAAAACCCCATTTAGGAAACTATGGAGAGCAGGTTGAGGGCCCCCAGGTATCTGAAAGGCTGTTACAGTGAGGAAGGGAATAACATACCTGCACTCTGCAGGGCAGGAAAGGCTGAGTTGTGATTTCAGCAAATGAGACTGAGGGATTGGAAAACTGTCATGATAACGTGGCACTGGAAGAGATTTTCTCACCTCCTCTAGGTCAGTTTATCACAATGGCTTCTGACTGAGATGGCAGCGGCACAGGGCAGCAGGCTAGTGTGGCAGTCATTACTGAAAGACTCCTGGTCTGGTCTATTTGCTTTCTTCCAAGTCTCAACACAGAGAGTTTTTGCAAATACCTCCATTTCTTCAACTAATTTCTGCTTCTCAGCATAACTACTAGGGACATGTGGTGGTGTAAACCTCTCCCGTCCCCTGGGATGTTCAGTGCTCGGTTCAATTCCCCTCGCTTTTTCTGGACCACACACCAACCTAGGATGAGTTGGGTGTGGGTTGCGAAAGGCAGTGGACCAGAAAGCGAAGGCACCCCCTTAACATACCAGGCCCCTGCTTGCCCTGTCACTTGACATGGTACGTCTGTACCGCATTGCAGCCCAGAAAGGGTGATGCCAGAAAGCCCAGAATCAGCAAGTTCGGGGCCTGCGCAACTGGTGGAAAATACCAGAATATTTCACCATCCAAGTTGGGCCAAAATGGAAATGTACCTGACGAAAGTTAATTATCTTGGACCCTATAAACAGCCATTCCAAGCGAGACTCTTTGAGCTCTCCTGGATCGCAGCGGGCTGTGACCAGCATCTCCCATGGGCTGGGTTGCCTCTCAGGTACCAGCTCTGCCGACTGTCTGCTGACAAAGCTGACAGAAGGCAGAGGTAACATATCCTCCTCAAGTCTCAGTTATTGCCTGTTGAGAAATGCCAATGTGGACTGTGAGTATTTACTCAACTTGAGAGTGAGATTTTATCTATAGACTAGCCTCTTCCATCCACCTCTCTGCTTACCTACGTATTTGAATATACACACTTGCCTTCATGAGTGTGGGTGTCTGTTCACAAGCGTAGGTGTCTGCTTCACCACATCCAAATATTTCAATCTATCTGCACGCTTTATGTTTTTTAGGTATATCCCCATATATATTTTGATTTGGAATACCTTGTAGTAAGATATTGTGAATCTTGAGTTTTTCAAATCTGTAATTAAGTCACTGTTTTAATTATAACATATCCTATTGAATCATGCTGTTAATCTTTAAATTGCGTAGGTGTCTGCTTCACCACATCCAAATATTTCAATCTATCTGCACGCTTTATGTTTTTTAGGTATATCCCCATATATATTTTGATTTGGAATACCTTGTAGTAAGATATTGTGAATCTTGAGTTTTTCAAATCTGTAATTAAGTCACTGTTTTAATTATAACATATCCTATTGAATCATGCTGTTAATCTTTAAATTGGTTTTTCATGTTATTCATTAAGTGTTGCTAAACTTCAACCTTTGATTTACCTCATCCCATTAATAAATCTTAAATTGCTGCTAAATGATAACTGTGTTTAAACAGTCCATCCGCAACAGGGCATGTAATTTTGCGGGGATGTAATTTTGCCATATCAGAGCCAGGGGAAGGATTTCTGCTGACCAAGTGGAAAGACCTACAATCAAATACTCCTATCTCAGCTCCTCAGCTCACCTTCCTTCTTTCTCAGTAGACAGAGAAAAGACACTAGTGAGACATGAATCATCTCACCTTATAGACATGGCTAAAAGCCCTCTAGAATTGCCAGGTTGTCTCTGAGGACTAAGGCAGGAGTGTAGTGAGACGCTCAGATGGAGAAGTCGCACATCTCAACTTGGGCAGAGGTATCCCTGCCTCATGAATCAAAGGGAAAATCCTCTGAGTTGAATCCCCTCAAGGCAGCTCCTCTGAGAAGCCAGATGAAACACAGGGTCTAATCCATGTTCTCCCTGCAGACAGGGGAGGATTCCTGAATCTCATCTCATTTCTGAACTGATCTCATGCTCAGGTGGGAGTCTAAGACAGACAGAGCTGGACCATCATCTGAAAGATCCCTTTCCCTCCTTTTTTCCTCCTTAGGAATTTACATGCCGGAAATCTCCTGTGGCTAAAAAGCAGAGAAATGCACCTTATCGTGGCTCTCCTTAAACATGCAAGGCTCTATGTCCTGGGCAGGCTTCACTCACCAGCTCAGCCAGCAGAAATGATCCAAATGACATCTCTTCATGCACCATCCTCCAGACGAAGCCATAGTCCTCTTGGCTGAGGGAGAACATTGGAAAGAGGTCGATTTGTTGGGGGAGCTGTGGAGGCAATGATGTCAGGAGAAGTGAGGATGAACAGCTCTCACCTTGCCGACTCACTTGGAGCTGTTCACAACTGCCTGACGTTGTTTCTTCTCCATCCACCTAGTAGGTATTGACAGCTTGTGCTCCCGATTTGCTTTCCCCCTCACAGTCACCACTGCAGTTGCAGAAAGGGGGTTTGTGTGCTCACACACAGTGCAAAGTCTCTGCAGGTCACCTCCATATAGCGAGAGCATGCATCAGAGAGTCCCCAGCATCGTTAGCACAAAAACATCCCTCACCCACCTCATCAACACACTGAAGCTCCAACTGGCCGCACCAAGGAGACAATTTTCTGTTTTCCCTCTGTGTGTCACAGGGAGTTTGATCTCTGAGGGATTTCATGGAATTGTTGCAGACGGATAATGCTCTCTCTTCAGCCAGGCCAATTAAAGAACAGCAGCGCAATTCTCTAAAGCAGCTGTCGCACGGCGTGTTTGCCTCCTGCCTGCAGCTGTGACACGTGAACGTTGTCAGGAACTCAGTGCTGGTTTGTGTAGCCAGTTGCTGACACGCAGGAGACATCTGGAATAGCCCTGTCCCAAGAGACGGGAAGTGTCAAGTATTTGGTGCTGGATATTAACATGGTCTTGCAGCCTCCAGGGTGGGAGGGAGATGTTGTCTCACACAGATCAGGCAAACCACGACTCACAAGCACCTGTTTTAATTCAATTGCTGCTCAAGATAAACTAGACAGCTGGCTTAAACAACACGCACGCACGCACGCGCACGCACACATACACACACACAAGTCTAGACCTCTAGGCATCTAGAATTAGTTGAGAAGACTCAATCCCAAAGAGAGAGCTGCTGGAGGGAGTGCAGAGGAGACCATGAAGATCCGAGTGCTGGAGAACCTCTTCTGTGAAGACAGACTGAGAGAGTTGGGGTTGTTCAGCCTGGAGAAGAGAAGGCTCCAGGGAGATCATCTAGCAGTCTTCCAGTACCAAAAGGGGCTACAAGAAAGCTGGAGAGGGACTTTTCACAAGACCACATAGTGATAGGACAAGGGGTAATGGCTTTAAACTGAAAGAGGAGAGATTTAGATTAGATATAAGGAAGAAATTTTTACACTGAGGGTAGTGAAATACTGGAAGAGGTTGCCCACAGGAGTTGTGGATGCTTCATCCCTGGAAGTATTCAAGGCCAGGTTGGATGTGGCTTTGAGCAACCTGGTGTAGTGGAAGTTGTCCCCACCTGTGGCAAGGGGGTCGGAACTAGATGATCTTTGAGGTCCCTTCCAACCCTAACCATTCTATGATTCTATGAGTCACTGTCTTTCTTGGGAGATATTCCTCTGAGAAATTGCTCCGCTGGGTGACATCTAGCTTCTTCTTGTCCATGATCTTCTTTCTTTTCCAGCCAGGCTTTCCATGTCCATGGTCATCACATTTGGAGCCTCCTGGTGGGAAATGGGACCTACTACAGTAGAGATAATTTCCTTCTCTGTTTGCAGGTTAGACCTGAGCCTCCTGTTTTACCTCTTCTCTTCCTGGTGCCTTCATACTCATGAGTTTATTTCTCCCCACTCTCCCTTCACCTCCACAAAGGTCACGGGAACTGGCTTTGGGCTGTGAAGAAGTACCTGGAGGGAGGCTCTCATCCTGTTCTTTCCCATCCCCGGGAAGACAGTGGATAATCCATCCAGTCCCCAAGTTTTCTGACTCATATGCCTACTGTATCCAGATGACATGGCCACACAGCTGTCCCAGGCTAGGGATGTAACTGTGCAGACTTCCTCTTGCTAGGGAGTCTCCAGGCAGGCTTTTACTTTCTCCTCCTCTGCTGGCAGAGGGGTTTTAGCCTTTTCCCCCCTCTCCTTTTGCTCCTGCCTCCTGGGCTGGAGGAATGTGAGGGTCATCTTCCCAAGTGTCAGCACTCCTGCTTCCTAGCATCATGACTGCAAGCAGAGGGGCTGTTTCCCAGATAACTTTCAGCAGGGATGGTGCAGCAGTCATGGGAAAATCTGGAAATTCACTGTAACTTGCCCTTGTGGGATGCCTGAATCAGACCAAAATTTCACTCCAGGTTGCAGTTGGACTCTTGTTCTCACCCATTGCCATCACCATCACCAGCAAATGGAAGGACAACCACATACACACAGACACACATGAGAAAACACGCTGACATCCACACACTCAAAGGGTGCGTGCACAAGTCCACACCTGTGGGCACGCGGGTGTGTGCAGTCACAAGCATGCACGTACACAAAAGCACGTTTGTAGACATGTAGAAGTGAGAGCACACACATGTGCCTGTAGAAAAACAAACATTTAGTCCCATTTGAGCAAATATGAGAAAACAAGTGTATGCG